AACCACTCTCCGATGGGGTGTGCTCATGCAGGAAGCCCTTCTCCATTCTGCATTTGGGGCACCCATGCACACGCCTGCGACGTGCTTTTTAAACCACCAGAGCCAGCATTTGAACCTTGGTAGGCCGTGTGGGATCCAGTTCCCTTCATCGAGAGGCTGCAGAACTGGCTCTATGTTATCTTCACATGGGGTTTTATACCCAAGTCACAGAGGAGCAGCACCAGAACTGATAGCAGAAGAGAAAAGTCATTCAATTCTGCCCCGCTATCAGATCCCATGAACTTGTTCAGAATAAATCCCACATCTATGCCTAGCCCCGTTAGATTGCTGTGTGTTTGCGTGCGTGCGTGTGCACGCGTGCATGGGCGAGACAGAAGCGTGAGTTCTAACCTTGTGAAAGGACTTCAGTCTTAGTACCCACTGGACTTTCTTCTTCTCTCGCTCTCTGTTCCTTCCTTCCTTCCAGTTCCTCACCGTATACCACAGTTCAAACTCTTCAATCTCTGAGAGACCCTGCTTAAGCCCGCTTTAATGCTTAATCTCACCTGGCCCTGCGAGGTGGCTTTGAGGGTCCGGGTCGCACAGAGGAGAACCCGCGCTCCCTGGCGCCCAGAGCTCCAGCCCCGCCAGCTCTAGCCTCCTCAGGACCTAAGGAGAATGGACTCTTGTCCCCGTTCACGCAGGAAATGATTCTGGTATTTCATTGACAAGGCTGGCAGACCTAAACAAGATGGCCAAGACTGGCCCTTGTCGCCCACAGGGGACCTCAAGGTATTTTTCTCCCTCCACCTCCTGTACACTCAAATTGAACAGCCTCCAAGCGCTGCTCTGAAAACATCCTAATATTACAGGTGCGCGGCGCGCCCTCGTGTGTCTCTACGGTGTAACAACACTGCGGTGTTCTCTAACAACTTCCTTCAAAGGAACCATGACAGGGTCCGCTAGTGCATGCGGAGCGCTCCTGAGCCGCGCCATGTCTACAGAAACTGCAGAGCCTCGGTTCTGATAGATAAAGTTTTCGCCTGGAAGAAGTTACATGTGCTCATGGCTTTTAAAATTCACACAAAAGAATATAGCCAAACGTTCTCTCTCCCACTCTGCCC